GCTAACAACGAGGTAGTGATTGGTTGATAGCTCTGCCTCTCTGTTAACGCGAACATCCCTTACTCAGCGACTTAAGTCAAACGATACGATTATCAAATCGATCATGGACTTCTGTGCACAAGCTTCCCGGTACCAGGTATACTTGTGCATTCTTCTATGCCCGAAGAAGGTATTCATAACGGACAGTCCTTTGTTCGCACAAAACCGCTTCAACCTCACGCCGTTCTTGTTGAGGTCGCTAGGGCGTCCTTTTCAATTCCTCCTTTCCGCTTTTCAGCGTATTCTTCCACATGCGCATTAAAGTCGCCCATGAGTATGAGGGACTTCATAATCGATGATTCGTACAGAGCACACTGCCCTTTCTCAAGGAACTAATTATATTTTCCCTTCTAATTTGGCGCATAGACCTGTAAAGGTCAACGCTTTAGCCCGTTCCCGCTTCAGTCGGAGAATTGCCACCCTTCCGCTGATAGGCTTCCATTGAATGATTTTATCAGCCAAGTTGGGTTCTACCAGAACACCAACATCGGCCTGAAAGCGCGTGATCACGTCAACACATGAGTAGAATAGCTTCTATTCCCGGAGGTTCAGGATTTCAGAGCCTTGACTTTTTGTTGACGAGAGTCTAACAATGTCGAGTTGGTTTTTTATGGCCTCATCAACTATCTCTTGGTCTTTCTCTCTGAATGAAGATATATTCCAATTTCCAACTGTACGCTCTCACTGACGGTGTCATTCTCGCGGAGCCGTCTCTGAGATGCTGTAATTGGCATCGCGCTGTCTGCCTCCTCCGTTCAGAAAGGGTAGAGATTCCGTTGTTGACTGGTATCTTCATCGTCGTTTCGTCAGCCGTTCTTGTGCTGCTACCCCCTGGTTGCCATAAGGCGATGAACTGGTTCTTCGCATCCGGCATCAGTCCCCCATCAGCCTGCGCAGCCCTTGGCAACTCAGACGTTTACAGAGCCTTTATAGTTTTCCATGGCGTTAATACCATGAGGGGTATGTAGGTAAGTTTTACGGAGACTTCGCTGTGGTCTCTAACGCTTCTCCTTTCTCAACCGAGCTTGTAGCCGGTAACGGCGGAGTGATTTTGTTTAATAATCTTTCATAATTTTTAAGTGCTTTCTATTGCTATCTTTCATCGACTCGAAATTTTCTATATTTAACTGATACGATTATTGATTGTGAAATTTCCCCGTTATTAAACCGTCTTAAGTTCAGATTAAAGGGCGAATTTCATACCACTGGTTTGCATTGAAAATGAAGTTAAAAATTCTAGAATAATTCGGAAATAATTCTAGAAAGCAGGATAATAATCTATGGTGCCTCCTTTTTCCTAGGTGCTTAGTGGTCTGAAGCAATGATTTGCAATCTTTTAGTTCCTCATGTTGTAAGATCGATATCACATAAATTAAAAACATATAGTGATTATTTAGCATGTCGTTTTTCCTGCTGAATTGAGCGCTTGAAGCGGTGCATGCCCAGCTACGGTAATTTGAAACGGTGGTGTTGTCCGTCGCCGCCTGCAAGTGATATCTGTTTGTTGTATATACAAAAATGCTAAACTTTTCTGAATCTGACGTATGGATGAAGGTTGGAAAGACGTTGGAATATTTAATGAGGATTGGCATTCTGAATGGACTTCGAATAGATTCTGAGAAAAGTTCAAGAATTGAAGAAAACCGCACAAATAGCTGCAAG